CATCTGAGGACATATGCTCACAAGTGCGTGACGAAGGTGCAAATGTGAATTTGTTATATCAAGCCATGGAAACATGCAAACATACACAAATGCAACATTTATATGCAAAGGGGCGGTCGAGCCAAACAAGTCGGTGGGGCCGATCGGTCGAGCCGGCAAGACATGAAGATCAATTTGATTGGGTCGGTGCAGCTGATCAATCGAAACGTCAAGGGAGAGACAATTGTGTTGATCGGGGCGGTGAGGCCGATCAGAAGAGCAAACAAAACATATTGATCGACTCGTTAGTGCGCCTGATCAGTCGAATCCATAAAAGATAGTTGGTCATGTCGCTCGGGCCAGTGGAGCCGATCAGCCGAGCCGACGAAACAAGATAATCGATCTGATTAGGTCGGTGCGGTCAATCCAATCGGTTGGATCGCCAAAAGATGGCCAGTCGTGTGGGGCCAATCAGACAAACCAACGAAACAAGATGATTTATAAGATCGAATCGGTGCAGTTGATCGATCAGATCAATAAAAGATAGTCGGTCGTGTCGATCGGGTTGGTGGGGCAAATCAGATGAGACAACGAGACAAGACGATCTATCTGATTGGGCCAGTGCAGCCGATCAATCAAATCGCCAAAAAATTATCGGTCTTGTCGATCGAGCCTATGGGGCCGATTACACAAGCCAACGAGGAGACATGCAAAAAACTTATAGTTTTAATGCATATTTAAAAAACATGTCACACACATAATGCAAATGGGAATACATACAGATGACAAAGATCTGATCGTCCGTGGCTACAAAGCGGCACAACCTATTGACCCACCTCATGGGTCACCTTAAGGGTAGTTGACGGGGCAAAGCAAACATCGCTATAAAGTGATGGGCGGCCGCTTCCGTTTGCTCAACATGATGAAATTCCATGAGGAAAGTTTTCATGGCGTAGGGAACATCAAACTCATGGGACTTTTCGTTCTTTACGTCCAAACGGTGAATTTCGCTCCCCTCCATCATGGGAACGACATCGCCAGTGCAAACGTGAGCTATGTCCTCTTCCTTTAAGCGATGTGGCTCAAGAAAAAATAAAAAAACTTTTGCTAATGATCCAAAAATTCATGATTAATCACTATGATGCCTAACAATGCCAGCGAAGCTGTTAATGCTATAAAAACTATAACAAGAGCTTCAAAAAAGAGAACAATCTTTATTGAGTTAATGACAGAGTTGCCCAACTATCAAGGGTTCTCTGCAGAAGAAATTGATATTATTTATGACAAGTTAGCAATAAATACAATAATGTTTCATGCATTTCTCTCAAAACTAATGGAAGCTAAGGCTAGGAGGATGTGGAGTGAGCTTAGCAAGTGATTTTGTGTCATTGAGATGAGTGATGTTTTAATCTTGTTGGGTTGATATGAGCTAGCATGTTATTATAAATGTATGAATATGTAGCAAATTTGAATGTATCTTTTAGAGTGTTTTGATATTTTCAATGTTGAACTTGCTTTTCTTCATCGGTGAGATTTTTAGTTTTATAAATCTAGTGAATTTGGATGATTTAGTCAATTATCATTATGAGCATAAAATGTTTGTTATATGTGAGATTACTATTAGCTTGTTCACTTATTATTTATTTTGGCCTTGTGAAGTATTGTATTGATAGTGAAGATATGTATAAGTATATTCTTTAATACATATTATATTTGTGCAGAGAGCTTATGTAAAGAATAAAATGAAATATGTCCCTAACTTTAAGATGATTTGCTATTGCGTAGCATTCCCATTGAGCCCGGGCATGATGGTAGAGTCCCAACTTTTGTGTGCATATTAAAAGATTTAGTAAAAATAAACAAAACAAAACAAAACGTAGGAACATTATGCATGAGTGTCCCATAATAGTCGATAAAATTATAAGGGTTAAGTAGCCATCACAAGAATTTATGATAGTTAACTTAAATCCCACTATTATAAGATGTTAAGAGGCTGACATCAGTGAGCAAGGATGACTCCTAAATGTCATGATATAGAAGATATAGGTGATTGTCCTCAAGCAAATATTTTTTTGTTGAATGTCAAATCTCATCTCAAAAGATGTGAGATGCTCACTTGTACAAATGGGTTTTCCTTTATAGCTTAGGAATTATTTGTTGATCAAGCCATAAAACTAATAATGAAGTATTTATTTTAAGGTTCTTTTGTACGTTAGATGTGCTTTTTTAAAGACGGATCAAAAGCACCTCATTGATTGGGCTTAGAGTTGTCAATAAATGACCCACCCCAAACAAGAACCCGACATGAACTTGACAAAAAAAATTGAAGTAAACCTTACATGATTAACTTTTGAGTCATGTTAGACTTACAAATTCTGAGACTTTTATTTTTTGTTTAGTTTAATATTCAAGTTCATGTTAACGTGTTAACCTGAATTTGACTCGCCAACTAAAATAAATTTTTATATTTGAATTCATGTATATCAGTTCATTTTTATCTTTAGTAAGCATTTCTTACAATGCAACTATGCAAAGTATGGATTTCTTTCATCTATATCCATTTATAAATATGTTAAATGGTTTTCTCAGTTCACTCCTGCTACATGCCGGTCAAATTCATTTCAAACTTTTCTAACTGTTTAATAAGTATGTTGTGTTTAAGTTGGATCAAATTCATGTTAGACCCAAAATCGATCATTAACTTCACTCCTCTCATCAAAGAAAAAAATAATACATGTTTTGTCATGGTTCATTTGGACTTCACATACGACGAAGTCGTATATTTGTTGTGCGATAAGTTTAGATGCATCACGATAAAGCACGTGTATTCTCTCTTCATCAAGAAGGGAAGGGTAGAAATATGATCGTGAAACTACGATTTAGTTTGGCCCTTTTATTATTTTTTCAACAAACTTTGGCCACTAATATTCTTAAGAGTCTCAACATAATCTCAATGGAACATTATGCTAACTAAGATTGTTGATTCAAAGCAATAGTATTAAAAATACAGCTATTATTGACACTTGCCAACCATATATTTCCTCATGGAGAGGAAGCAATGTCTCTCACACAAAATAAATATTTTAAAATGACTTTTTGGCAAATTCGTTTATTAACTTTGTAATTAGTGGAAATCACGAAGTGGTAATTGAAAGGGAATTGGTTGACTGTGTTCGGCTCGTTCGTTAAGAAACGAACACGAGCTTATTTCAAACAAACTAAATTTTAAACGAACTGAACACGAACACAAGCTTTGTTCGTTCGTGTTCGGTTCGTTTACACCCCTACATGAAGGGATAAGATATATGAGTTCTTTTCTTTCTAATTAAATAAAAGAAAATAAGTGAAATTTAAATACGTACCACACTACTTTTACCTATTTACAAATTTAACAGCTAAATTTTGATATTTAGATTTATAACACTATTATTAAAAATCTATTGCAAAGTTGGTGATTGTGATACTTTTGATGTGATTCAAAAAAATTTGGGCAGTATGTTAATATGAAAGTGTAGGCCTCAGATAAGTAAATATATAAGAATTGTACGGTATGTATGTAAATGCCCCAAAAAATAACAATAATAATAATAATAATAATTAAAAAAAAATGTGTATGATGATAGGGAAATAGCTTGTATTAAAATTCAGGTTTGTTTGAATAATTGGATATAATTTAGAGCATACCAATGGATATTATTAAATACAATCATAAGAATTATTTGCCATCAAAAAGGTATGCACGTAAATTTGGAGTGAGGATGCAAAAAAAAATTTGGGTCAAAACAATAAGATCTAAATTAGGTGAGAATGTCTTTTATTATTGGATTTATTTTATAATTATAAGCCCTAAAGTACCCCTCTTAAATGGGCCTTATGGGCCTATTAGATTCGGCCTTTTTCTTTCTTTTTTGATGTGTATTATCATGAGCATGTGCTAAAGCCCAGAACCAACAGTATTCTCACTAGTGGGGGCAAAGATGATTGATTTGGTTCATGATTTTTTTTTTTTTTTCCAATAGAATTTACATAAAAAAGAATGCTTTGCTCATAAAAGCTCTACTTTTTTTTTTTTTCTTTTTGGGCATTTACGAACATACCAGTCAATTACTATGTATTTATATATCTAAAGCCTAAAGTTTTCTTTTTTACATTTATGCCACACGAAAAAATTAATTTCAAATAAAAAATATCTTCATTTTAATTTTAAAAAAAAAATGAAATGCACCTTTTTTTCATACACGAAAAAATGTCTGGTATGCATGTAAGAATTGAAGCTTAAGGGTTAGATATGGACAAACATTAGAATTGAGTGGTATGTAATTATGCATGTAAATCTATTTTTCCCATGCTTAACAACAAAGTTAAAATTAATTAGAGGCATTTACATATGTACTACCAAATTCCTATTTATTACATATCTAATACATTAACTTTATTTTTTTATATTCTTACCACCAAAATTTTTCATATTACATAAAAATATCATCATTTTAATTTTTAATTTTTTTAAAAAGGAGTAAAGTGCCAAAATAGTCCCCTTTTGATCCTAGAATTTATAAAAATATTAAAATTGTCATTCACTATTTTAAAATTGAGCTCTAATAATCATTCATATGGATTGTTTCAACCCCAATTTAAAGAGACAGGGGTCAACTTTGACACTCCTAGCATGTTATCTTGTTTAGTAAAATTATATTTTGTCTGAATTCTAAAAAAACTGCAATTTAAAGTTGTGTTTCCTTACTACACCTATACGGGTGGCTACTAAAAAGTTGTGGTACGACTTAAAAAAAAAAATTTATTGTGCTATCATTTTTTAAACATCTTCTTCTTCAGCAGCTTCATAACTACTTCAAACTGCACCACACAGGTCTTCATTTACTCAACTTATTTAAAAAAATTAAAATTAATTAATCATCATGAACCGCT